TTACTCATTAGCTTTTGATCCTAAATACTCTGAACATTGTCAAACACAAAGGAATACTCCTTATCTTTCCTTCCAAGACACTCCTGAGGTAAGCACTACAGGTCATACATCCCAGGTCTTTAAACAAATTCTTCACCTATGCTGTTTATCTTGAACACCACATTACACAACATCATTTAATCAAATGTAACATTAGCATTCACATTCTCTGCATTCATGTTTTCTCTTCAATTGCTCAGTGGTGGATTTGACTAAATTAAGTAAGGCTCTCTTATTGATAAGCACATTCAGATATGAAACATTAGATTTGTGGGTCAAACACTGTAACCACAAGAAACAAATGCAAAAATAGATATATAAGTTTTCACCAAACGAAAGCTTCTGTGGCAAAAGAAACAATTAGCAAATAATGATACAATCTAAAAAATGCAAATAAAGATACAATCTAAATAATGGGAAAATATTTTAAGCTATACATCTGAGTTAATATGAAACTCAATTTAAAAAAACACAAATAATCCAATTTAAAAATGGATACGTAGATCTAAACACAATGTCTCAAAGGAAAAAATGTAAAATGCCAACAGATATATGCAAAAAAAGTTCAACATCTGTAGTCATCTGAGAAAATGTATCAAAACAAAACCACAATAGGATGTCACTTCACTATAGTTCAGTTTTCTTCCACAAAGACCAAAAACAACATATTTTGACACAGATGTTGAGAAATGTGAATCTCTATACACTGCTGGAGAGAAAAAAAGATTAGCGCAAATGCTGTAAAAAATAGTATGAAGATACCTCAAAAATGTAAAAGAATATCATGACCTACTAATCCTGCTCCCGTGTATATGTATGTATGCATGCATGTACGCATGTACATATATATGTATACATACATATGCATGTACATATTTATATGTGTATACATATATAACCGAAGGGAATAAATACATATACACATATTATAGTGATGCATATATAATACAAATGTGTATTATATGTAGTTATATACATATATGTATATAATACATAAATACATACATATTTATTTTCCTCAGGTATATATGTGTGTGTATGTGTATCCCATATGGGTGTGTGTGTGTGTGTGTGTGTGTGTGTGTGTGTGTGTGTGTGTGTGTGTGTTTGTGTGTGTGTATCCAGGGGGAAATAAAATATTTGCCATAGAGACACCTGCATTCCAATGATCCTTGTATCACTATTCACAATAACCAATAGATAGAATCAATCTACACGTCCACATAACTTCTGAATTTATGGATAAAATGTATAGTTCGCGCCAGCACTGTGACCCAGTGAATTAACCCATAGCACACCATATTGGCACCAGTTCAAAACCTGGATGCTCCTCTTCCAATCCAGTTCTAGGCTGTCAAGCCTGGAAAAGTCCTTGGGCCCTGGACCCATGTGGGAGACATTGAAAAACTTTGGGCTCCTGCCTCAGCTTGGTCCAGTCCTGCACGTTTTGGCCACCTGCATTTTTGTCTGTCTCTCTCATAACTGATTTTCAAATAAACAAATAAATTTTGTTTTTTAAAAAAAAGACAAATACCAAAGATCTATATCTATAGTATACTATTCAACCATCATTAAAATTATTTTTATCTACTAGTTTCAAAATGTACTATACACATCTGTATAAAATGTAGCATTTGAAATGATGCTGTCCTGTTCACCAAGACAAAAGATACTTCCTACAAAAAATTCACAGAAAATATACATTACTGGATCACTGTAAAAAAAAATGTGCAAAATGAAGTCTGAATTTTATTCTATGAGCAGGGTCAAAGGAGCATTTTAAGCAAGGGGGAAATAGGATCTAATTTGCATTTTGAAAGATCACTGATTACAACATGGAGGATGGGAACTTAAAGTTCTACAAAGAATAGAGGATGATTAATGCAGGCCCTAAGGTATAATAGCAGAGACAGATTAATAGGAGCTAATTAACCAAGACTGATAAGGACATGAACAACCATATAGAGAGGCATGTGTACACAGCACTGCATTGAGCACTTCATATAAACTATATAATCTGATCTTTCCAACCACCCTGTAAGATCATAATAGGTTTTGCTATTACTTTTCCATCATAGGATTACAAAACAAAATTAAATTATGTAATTTAGGGTGGGTACAATGGCCTAGTATGCTAATCCTCGGCCTTGCAGCTCTGGCATCCCATATGGCACTGGTTTGTGTCCTAGCTTCTCCACTTTGAATCCAACTCCCTGCTTATGGCCTGGGAAAGCTGCAGGGGACAGCCCAAGATGTTAGTCTCCCACACCCATGTGGGATACCTGGAGGAAGCTCCTAGCTTCTGGGTTTGGATCAGCTTAGCTTTTGTTGTGGCCATTTGGGGAATGAACCAGTGAATGGAAGATCCCTCTTTTTCTGTTTTCTGTCTCTCTCTCTCACACACACACACACTCCCTTTCAAATAAAAATAAATAAATCTAAAAAAAAAAAAAAAAGTTGGCAGTGACACCCACATGGGTACCTTTGAGCTTTTTTGTGGTGGCAGACTTGCAAGAGGCCAGAGGGTGTGGTCTTGCAGGCGACCATGGGGATGGTATCAGCGAGGTCATGCAAGGACCTGGGGAATCATATCCAGTCAGGTGGAGGAAGCCTGGGGATATATCCACATACTGGGTCCCAGGTAGGGTTGGGGTACTGGAGAGGGCAGCCCTGGTAGGCATGCTGGCCTGGTGTGCTGGTGGACTGGGCTTGGGGTACTTTGAATGGGTCTGCATCTTGGGTGTGTAGAAGGGTGGGGTCCTGGGTCAACTCTTATGCCAGGAGCTTAAGACCCAAATGGGTAGACAGAGCTTCAGGCCAGCACACCACCCAACTGGAAGACTGGGCTTTGGAAGGCTGGACTGGGAAACCCATGTACTCTTAGGTGCAAACATTGTGAACTGTTTGGAGAAGAGGGTAAAGGGATGCATGGGAAAGGACCACTGAGGGAGTATGTTACAGGTGAGGAATGACTTCTGAGGGATTTTCATTAACAAGGCCACTGTACTTGTAGGTAAGCGAGGGGATAGAGAGCAAAGCTGTTTGGAGGAGGGAAGCTGCAGAAACTCTATGGGTCAAACTGATGAACAAGCCCACATGGGAGACCTGAACTGGGCAAGTTAGCATGGATCACTGCCAACTACCACTCATATGTGCACACAAAAGCTAGGGCTGGGGGGCCTAAGTTACAGGCCTAGATTGCAGTACCTGCCTATCACAGATTGAACAGGGGTTCAGTAGTATTGGCCTTGGCCATGACACTAACCAGCACGTGAGAGAATCAGGTCTGGGGCAGATACTGTGGGGAATGTGGTGAGCAGGGAAAAAGGGGAGGATTGCAAGGGGACTATCTCATTAAACAAACTAGAAAAAAGAAAAAAAAATACTGAATATGATGCCCTTTTCAGGTAGAATGCTAATACCTCATTTGTTGGTATAGGACTGTACATGGTAAGAACTGAAGCATCACAGCTTATGATTTCCAATCTCAACCTCAATACCATGACAGAAACCAAAAGCAAATGTAAAAGGACAAGATTAGGAAAGTAAATCAAACTGAGTAGTATAGTATATGGAAAGTTGGGACAAAAATCTCAAGAATTCAGAGTCAGGAAAAAAACAAACAAACAGTAACCAAAAAAAAAAAAAAAAAAAAGACACACACAAAATGAGGCTTGAAGCAGTGGCAGATTCTCCTGTTGGCCTTGCAGAAGCAAACAACATGCAAATTGCCTTCCAAACCAGCCAGGAGGCATCAAAGGGCAGTCTTTGGGAGGTGAAAACAGTCTACATGTAGTCACATCAGCCAAGGAAAATAAATTTCAGTCCTCCAATTCCAAGGAACTAAATCGTTTCAAAACCCACTCAGCCTGTTAAAGGTCCTCAATCTTCAGGTAAAATCACAGCCTCAACTGAAACTCTGATTATAGCAGGTAAGACTTTGTGCATTAACCCTGACAAAGATGTCACTGGGCCTTTGACACACTCAATTATAAAACATTCAGTTTGCATTGCTTAAGCCACTTTGTGGTACTATTGGGCAGCCACAAAAAACTAACATGTTTTACAACCAAGAAAGCATTATTCTTGCATATTAAAGATCTGAAAATTTTTTTCTCTTAATTTTTGGCAATCTTTTTTTTTTTTCTTTAAGCGAAAGGAGTCAAAGAGTGTACCGAAGTTTCCAACCACTGGTTCACCCTCCAATGTCTGAAACAACTGGGGCTGAGCCTAGAGTCAAAGCCAGGAGCAGGAAACTCAATCCATGTTTACAACATGAGTGGCAAGAATCCAATTACTTGGGCTGTTACCAGCACCTTCCCAGGAAATACACTGACAGGACGCTAGAATCAGGAACATAACTGAGAACTGAAACCAAGCACTCCAACATAAGGACATGGCCATCGCAACCAGCAAATTAATTGCTCACATTAAATGTCCATCTGTGGAATTATGTTTTTGAATACTATTTAAGAAATAGTCACATTCTATATTTCAAAAAGAATTGCATATTTAACATACTTAGTTTTCTTTCCAGCCACTATGTACAGCACCAGAGTATACCATATTAAGAAATATACCACATTGTCAGAGGATATACCCTCAATAGTGTGAACATTTCACATTACATATATCAAAATTCAAATACATCATGTGAGATAAAATAATAAATTTCCCAATACAACAATGTGTTTCTTCAGCTAAAACTGTCAGATACATAATAAGCTGGAGATTGTAGTTTGGGGATACTACTCATCTTATAGGTAGTCATTTGTTTTCAGATTGTAAAAGTTAGTTTTCTTGCTGGATATTTGTAATTAATTATATTTATAAAGATCCAAAATATAAATTATTAACATCATTTGCTTTATAAGACCTTGTGGTACAATCCCAAATAGTTTAATCTGTTAAAGAAAAATCCACAAAAAACAAGAAAAGAGAAATTGACTTATTCAGCCTACCTTCCATATTCAATGTCCCCATTTTAGATTCCAGGAAGTCAAATAATGTACTTGGTGCTGATGGCCTAGCAGTTCCCAGATCCTCTTCTTCTTCAGATCTTATTCGTCCCCTGCCTTTTCCTCTACCTTAAAATATAAAGCATAACATATATACATGCAAAAACTAAAGGAGAAAATAAACTAAAATATAAACAGTAATCTCTTTAAATACAATTTTTGCACTTTTGTATACTTCACATTTAATAACAGAAACTGTCACATTCTGTAACAAAAAATTTTAAAATGATTAAATGAAGTTGCATATTCAATCTATGTAATCTATTCAGAAACTTGAACTTATTCATGTAATCTTAGAAAAAAAACCCATAATTTTCAGAAAAAAATTTTTTTTAATGTGGGATTTGATAAACCTCATGACAGTTATGTAAAAATTAAAAACTATAAAAACATGCTCATGTTAAATTTGGAAAATTTACATATTATTTTATATTTTACATAAGTCATATATTTAAGAAATAATGAACAGCACTAGGTACTTAGTCATTTTTTTCTATTATTCGCAACATCCCTTTTAAATTAACAGAGCACTAGAATCAGTTTATACAGAGGCAAAGGGTAACCTGAAAATATATCAAACAGATGCTTCTTTCCATTTACCGCACAGTAAAAGCTATAGCCCTAAGGGTAAGGAAATCAGCCTCTGTCATTAACACTATATTCCTCTAAAAAGTAAACAATACTATATGGTACTTTGCTTCATACCCCTCAGAGGTGGGCCTGTCATGGGTTTTTGTTTATTGTTGTTTAGAAGTACGTTCAATGCTGCTTCTATGTTGTTGCCATTATCCATAAGAGCTTGTCTGGATGCTTCCTTACTGAAGCCCATTTCAGTTATGTGCTTCAAAGCCTTCTCATCAACCTGCAAGAAATGAAGACAAAAGCTATGCTAACAGTAAATAAGTAAAGCAAGTTCATAACCAGTTATGGCTTTTAAATTAAAAATTACATCTTACAATGACAGAAAAGTGTCAACACTAATAAATATAACATTCACTTAATCTATTTTCATATGAACATTCAGGGAAAAATCTATCTACTTGTGCATTGAGTTCTGAATTTGCAAGTATCACTGAAAACACCAAATATAATATTGGTATGTAGACAGTGAACACTACTAACAAAACTTATTATGGAAAGAGTGGAAAGTCTATTTTTTTCATCCCCAAAAGTAAATATAATTCATATAGTGCTTCTCTAATATAAACTGAACCTAACAAAATTAGGTTCATTCCAAAATCATCTCGGATTTTTATATAATTTTAATAACCATTGCTTCAATATTTTATTCTGAATCCATTAGCAAAAGCATCTATGGAAAAGTCTACTTTACAAACACGTTGAAATCCAAACCTCCTACAAAATCTAGACTTTAAGTGGAATTTAAGAACTGATTATGGGACCACCCTAAAAAAGAAGGATCTTGAGTTGAAGCCAGTTGAGGAAAACACTTTAACTTACATGTAATAATTAACATGGCTAAGTTTTAAGGTAGCAAATATATCACATGCATGCTTGAACATCCATTTTAATGTCCAATATAAAATGCCAAATTCATAGTACAAAATTTTTCAAAACCCTGTATCACAGACTCCTTCAAAACACAGTAGCTACTGTCAGTTCAGAGTTGACACACTTCCTTAGATGCCTGTGAATGTGACTTAGATGTGCTAAATTAAATGTATAAATCCACTGGATATGAAAAGTATAATCCCTTCTTCTTAGCCATAAACTAATCAGAACTTGAAAAATTGTCTCCAAATAAACATCTAATTAAGAATATTGTTGGGCCCGGTGCGGTGGCACAGTGGTTAAGGTCCTTGCCTTGCACGCCCGGGATCCCATATGGGCGCCAGTTCTAATCCCGGTGGCCCAGCTTCCCTTCCAGCTCCCTGCCTGTGGCCTGGGAAAGCAGTCGAGAACAGCCCAAAGCTTTGGGACCCTGCACCCGTGTGGGAGACCCGGAAGAGGCTCCTGGCTTCGGACTGGCATAGCATCGGCCGTTGCGCTCACTTGGGGAGTGAATCATCGGATGGAAGATCTTCCTCTCTGTCTCTCCTCTCTGTATATCCGCCTTTCCAATAAAAAAAATAATAATAAAAATAAATCTTTAAAAAAAAATATTGTTTTGGGTCCAATGTGGTAGCCTAGTGGCTTGAGTCCTCACCTTGTATACCATGGTTCCACACGAGTGCCAGTTTGTATCCTGTCAATCCTACTTTCCTTCAAGCTCCCTGCTTGGGGACTGGAAAAGCAATAGAGAATGACTTAAGCCTTGGGACCTTGCACCCATGTGGGAGACTCAGCAGAAGCTCCTGGCTCCTAGCTTCAGATCGGCTCAGCTTCGGCTATTGTGGCAAAATGGAGAGTGAATTAGCGAATGGAAGATCTATTTCTCTGACTTTCCTTCTCTCTGTATATGCGACTTTCCAAGAAAAAGAAATAAATCTTTTAAAAAATACATTGTTCTATACGTAGAACCTGACCCCCACAAAAAAAATACTTCAAATTGTCCATTAGAATATAATCTGCTTCTTGGAACAACTTATTCTGCCTTTATCATTGTCTTTTCAGTTAACCAAACTAGAAAAAATAGTTTCTTGCTAATTATAGCTTGTATTTTTGCAGGGAATCGCATGGCTATCTTATCTCTGTGTGTCTTTGGGTTGTGTTATCATTATCTGCATTTGTGCTGCAATTTTCTTTATAAAAAATGAGACTAGTGGTACTGGATTATACTTTACCCCAAGGACTATATTTTAGCTTAATTTTATTTATGAAGACTTGACTCCCAAATAAGGTCACCTTCTAATGAACTGGGTGTTAGTAATATAACATATATTTTGGGTGGACCACTACAACATCATCCATTATCAAAAATTATTTCTTAGAGCCTATCCACTGATATGACCAATAAATCTTCCTTTAAATGCTAAAAATAGTTGAAAACCTGATAGTCATCTGTTTATGTACAAAAAATATTTCAAACTGTCCTTTTGATGGTCTCCTTCATTCCTGAATAACAATGTTACCAGACAGAGACCTCCTGGTTGACAATTCTTTCTTATCCTTCAGCACTTGGAGTACATATCATTCTACTACCTTCAGGCCTTTGTAGCTTCAATTAAAAAAAAAAAAAGAATTGCATTTTGTAGTGTCAGGTCTAATTATTTTTGCTATAACATTTACATTTGCACACTTCCTAGTTCTTTGCATCTCTCCGAATGAGTTCTTGTGACTCATTACTTGATCATCCATAAGAGAGGAATTGCTTGTAAACTTACCTGAGATTATAAATGTCCTTTTCAACACTGTTTTTGCTACATCTTGTGCGTTAATGATGTTCTAGATTTTATTGTAAATCCTTCAGGGCCATAAGGGTTACACATTAGCATCTATTCCTACAAGATTTTCGATTCCCATTTTCATCACTCTTGAGATGCATTAGTATTTTTGTAGCATGTTTGTTAACTTCATGTTGATGACAATTTATTATTTATCACCCTGTTCTGGACTGTGTTCACTGGCTCTTTATTTAAGGGAATATAAAATGGAAGTGTAGTGGAGACTAATATGTTCAGATGCGGAGACAAAGTGCTATATATCTCTCAGCATACAGACCAAAGATGGAACCCCAGTGAAATAACTGAAAATATCCTAACAGTAAGATGCTAGATTTTCCAACACTGTCCAGGCCAACACTGTCAGGAAACACTTCAACGAGAGCATGATGAACCTATGACTGTTCATGAGGAAACCCATTGTAAAACTGGAGGGGAAATCAAAGAGTCAAGGAGGGACCTTGGAGAGAGGGATGGGTAACCCCAAAGCCTATGGAACTGTATCATAAAACAAAATAAAATAAAGTTAAGAATTTTAAAATGCCTGTTAATCTTACTCATGATTCCTTGTACTTGATAAGTGACTTCTTTCTGGATGCTTTCAAGATTTCCTTTAAATAACTTAAGTATAATAGGTCAATATAATCCTATTTAGAATATATTTCTTGTAATAGCTGATTTATGACTTCATCAAAATTAGGGGAATGTAGGAACATTATCTTTTCAATTATTTTGAAGAAATATTCCTCCCCATTTCTTTTCCCACTGGGAATTCATAACTGCATATGTTGCTACATTTTAAGTCCTACTGATACTCAGAATTCAAGTGCATTAAAGATAGCAAACATCATTCTCTACCAAGCCCACTATTTGTACTTCTTTAGGAATTATTTTTATGATTACTTATATTCCTATGAATGGATTGAACTCATCTGCTTCTTTGGGCTGTTTTAAATTTTTTGTTTAGAATTTTAAATATTGAGTTCAGTAAGCTAATAAACTGGAAATTAAATTCTGCACCCTAAACAAGGATTTTTGCTACTTAATGCAGCTTATATCCTAAGTCTATTTAGACATTTTCAAACTTTTGGAAAGGAATCTATACTCTAAGATGTGCAACCAGTTAAGTCACCATCCCATTGATTCTCAGTCAACCAGTGACTAGCCTCCTCCTTCATCATTCACTACCCTGAATGCTGCAGTGTTTAATGAGGATCTAGAGTTCCACAACACTTAACTTCAGGCAGCGTTTGTCAGCTCAATGGTTTTGTTCAGTGAAGGAACAATTTTTGGAGCTTTGTGCCACATTATCTTTTATGATGTCACTCTGGTCAGGCTCCCTAGGAACCACCCTAATCTGCTAATCTCTTCTGCTATTTTTTGAAGACATCCTCACAAAACTGTGATCAATTTACTGAAGTTAACAGCCTCATTAGTTACAGAACTTTCCTACTTCAGCCTGCTGTATGCATTGTTCTTTGCTATTTAAAACTAATATTTTTTTTAAGATTTATTTATTTTTATTGGAAAGTCAGATAGACACAGAGGAAGAGAAAGAACAAGATCTTCAGTCGCTGATTCACTCCCAACTGGCCACAACAGCTGGTGCTGAGCCAATCCAAAGCCAAGAGCCTGGAGCTTCTTCCAGATCTCCCATGCGGGTAAAGGGTCCCAAAGCTTTGGGCCATCCTTGACTGCTTTCCCAGGCCACAAGCAGGGACCTGGATGGGAAGCAGGACTGCCGCGATTAGAACCAGAGTTCATATGGTATTCCTGCACATGCAAGGTGAGGATTTTAGCTGCTAGTCTACTGTGCCGGGCGCAAAAATCTAGTATTTGTTTTAAAAATGTACCATGTGGTCAAGGAAGATGTAGTCTGACCTAAAGTTATGACAAACTCATTTCCCTTGACCAATTATTAATTAGAACGTGGGCATATAAACGTGACATACATGGAAATCTGCAAGACATTTCAGAAAAGACTTTGTTCTTTGATAATACCAACCACACTCCCAGAGAAATTACTTCCTTTCTGTCTTTGAAGTTTTTGTGTAGATATTTAGCATTCACAGGATTCTATAACTCTTAAGAGAAACTCAGGAAATCATGGAAAGCTCTACTGAATTTATCAACTTTGTAACCACCTACTTCAGAGTTACCATACACTTTGATTTCAGCTACACACCAAAGTAAAGGCAATCTTTCAGCCTCCAAGGCAAAGGAAGCAGTCAGTACTGTAGCACACAGGTAAACCTAACGCCTGCAGCACCAGCAAGCGATATGGGGGATCCAGCTCCCTGCTCCTGCGCCTGAGAAAGCAGCAGAGGATGGCCCTGTGCTTGAGCCCCTGAATACATGTGGGAGTTGGAGATGAAGCTCCTGGCTCCTGCCTTTAGACCAGCCCAGCTCTGGTTGTTAGGGTCACCTGGGGAGTAAAGTAGTGGACAGAAAGCCTCTCCAGTTGTCTCTGCCCCTCTCTCACTTTCAAATAAATAAAATCTTTTTAACAGAAAAGCAAAAGAAAATTAACTCCTGCCAACTGCCTTGGATCTATGGAAACTGTGGCACACTAGAAACTGATTTTTCTCATTTATCTTAAAAACCTAAGCATATTTTACTACTGAGTCCATAATATGTGAAGACATTTCAAAAACAACATGGAAAACAAAATTAGAACATGCTTGTTCTGGTGCATAAATTTTTAAATCTATGCAGGTTTTTGTTTGTTTGTTTGTACAAGTAATTATTTTAATATATTTTCCCTGAAGAAAAAAAGGCGGCAAAGTACTGTATAAATAAAAATTAAGAATAGGTGTGAGAAAGGCTAGGAAGAGCACAGTATGGTTTTGATGTACTCTTCTATAGAAAATAATTTATATTAAGACCTTTGGATAGATTTTTATCAAATTATCCTAAAAATATTAAGAAACAAATAACTGGAATGACAGTTTTATGAAAATTGTTTGTCAAGCAGTCTAGTCCTTCATGAATTAACTGTATTCTTTCATGAAAGCGCTTAGCCAACAGCGGTTTTGGGAAAGAATGTAAGGGGTACTGAGGCTAATAGAAGAATGTATTAACCATAAGTTCAATTCTTCAGTCTTACCAGTTCTCTATAAACACCTTCAGGTCTTCCTTCTGATTTGGTGGACTTTTCTTTTTGCAAAACTTCCTTATTTCGGTTACCAGCAGCACTCATGTTGAGATTACTTCTAGCACTGCCACCACCTCCTCCAAATGTCTTAGTCTTCAGATAAAAAGAAAGTTAAAAGAGAGGTAAGTAAAACAGCAATTAAAACTTCCCTAAAAGCTAAATTTTAACCAAAAATATCTAACAGCATTTAATTTAAGCCTATAATTATATTTTAATGAAAAATATTAATTCTTTTCAAATTATAAAAACAACTACAATCCATAATCACTCTTTTAATCTGACTTTAATTCATATCAGACAATAAAAATCACATCATTAAAATGCTCAAGTCTCTCTAAAGAAATTCACCAAAATAAGCTTTAGTATATTGCAACAGAATAAAATAAATTATACATTATAAAGAATAGTTGCCAAATTTATACATAGGATATGGGCTAGCTTCATTGCACAATATAACATCAGTAGTCCTCATGAGGGTGTCAGTAGAGTCCTGGCTGCTTTGCTTCTTATCTAGCTCCCTGTCAGTGTAGCTAGGAAAGCAGCTGTCACCTACATGGAAGACACAGATGGAGCTCAGGCTCCTGCCTTTATCTAGCCCTGGCCACTGTGGTGGCTTCTTCACTTGGGAAGTGAACCAATGGAAAAAAACAAGATTTTTTCCCTGTGTGTGTGTCTCCCTTGTGCAACTTTGCCATTCAACTAAATAAAATCAATCTTTTAAAAAAATGTTTCCAGGAGACAATTCAACATGACTAAATAGTGAGAAGATGCAGTGAACTCAGCCACTAATTGACACCAGTTTAAAAAAACAAAACAAACAAAAAAATAAGACTACATCATCTGAGGGCACTGACAGCCATGTTCTCAGGGGAACATGGCTGATTCCCAGTAGAATAAGTGAGAGTGAAGGGAGGCTGTCACAGTCCCACCAATGGTGCTCTAAGGGAGAATTCCACAATTCCCTCTAGTTTCAAGTTCAGCCTGGGGAGCTGGCAGGACTATGCATCCTTTGTGGCTAGACTCATTTTGCTAAAACAGCAGTAGTTGAAATCTGGCCTTACTTGGGGAACAGCTTCCAGAGGCCACTGGGGCCAGGAAAGGGCAGCTTGCAGGGTAGAGAGAGGAACTCTTCACCCCCAATGGCTGTGGCAGTTCCAGGTATAAGCTACAGAGCTGAGAATGCTACAGAGTGCATCTCACTTCCTGTGCACAGACCTAGTCTGATTGCAGACTCAGAACTCCCTGAACATTGCAAACATCTTATAGAAAAGGAAGCAACCCTTCCAAACTCATTCTATGAAGGCAACATCACTTTAACCCCAAAACCAGATAGAGAATTAACAGAGAAAGAAAACTACAGACCAATCTCCCTGATGAACCTGATGCTAAGGTCCTCAACAAAATCCTAGCCAACAGAATTCAAAAAAAAATCAGACAGATCATTCATCCAGACCAAGGATTCATCCCGTGAACGCAGGGATGGTTCAACATATGGAAATCCATAAATCTGATACACCACATCCAAAAACTGAATAACAAAATAGATGCAGAAAAAGCTTTTGATAAAATCCAACACCACTTTATATTAAAAACCCTAACCAAAGTATGCGAAGAAGGAACAATCCACAACATAATTAAAGCAATATATGAAAAACCCAACGCCAGCATCATACTGAATGGAGAAAAACTGAAACCCTTTCCACTGAGATCCGGAACAAGACCAGGATATCCGCTATCACCAATGCTATTCAACATAGTCCTAGAAGTACTCACAGAGGCCATAAGACAAGAAAAAGAAATCAAAGGAATCCAAATGGGAAATGAAGAAGTAAAGCTTTCACTATTTGCAGATGACATGATCCTTTACATAGAAGAAACAAGAGACTCAATACAGAGAATGCTAGAACTTATATGAGAGTTTGGTAGAGAGGCAGGGTACAAAATAAACGAACAAAACTCAACAGCCATAGTGTATGCAAACAGCCCCAAGATGGAAAAAGATCTAACTAGCAAGGTACCATTCAAAATAACAGAGAAAAGTATGAGGTATCTAGAAATAAACCTAACCAAAAATATAGGAGATCTCTTTGAAGAAAACTACAAAATACTTAAAAAAGAAATTGAGGAAGACCTCAAAAGATGGAGAAACATACCATGTTCCTGGACAGGTAAAATCAATATCATTCAAATGTCCATACTACTAAAAGCAATATACACATTCAACTCAATCCCAATCAAATTACCCAAAACATTCTTCATTGAACTGAAAAATTATACACAGGTTCATCTGGGAACACAAAACCCACAAATAACTAGAATCATCCTGAAGCATAGGAACTTAACAAAGGAATCACAGTTACAGACTTCTGGACATACTGAAGGGCGGTGGTTGTCAAAACAGCCTGGTACTGGCACAAAGATAAAAATGGAGCAGACTAGAAACAACAGAAGGGAACCCATACAGATACAGCCAAATAATCTTTGACAAAAAGACAAACGACAATCCAATCAAATGGGAAGGTCTCTTCAATAAATGCTGTTGGGACAACTGGTTAATAGCCTGCAGAAACAAGAAGATAGACCCACATCTTTCACCATACACTAAGATCAAATCTAAATGAAGAAAAGACCAAAACCACATCCAGAAACCTTCAAACTTTTGGAAGAAAATGTTGGAAACACCCTGAAAGATTTAATTGTAGGCCCTGACTTCCTAAAAAGGACACCAAAAGCAACAGCAATCAAGACCAAAATAAACAAATGGGACTTCATCAAACTAAGAAGCTTCTGTACAACAAGGGAAACAAACAGCAAAGTAAAAAAGAAACCCACAGAATAGGAGAAGAACACACAAATCAATGAAGTCAGAGATGAAAAGGAGATATTACAACAGAAACTAAGGAAATAAAAAAAATTGGTAGAAGGTATTACAAACAGAAATATGGTAACAAATTAGAAAATCAAGAAGTGGAAAGACTTGTAGACACATATAACTGACCAAAAACTGAGGCAAAAACACATAGACAACCAGAATAAATCAACAACCAAGACTGAGACTGAATCAGTATAAAGAGCCTCCTGAAAAAGAAAAGCCCATGAGCAGGTAGTTTCATGGCTGAAACCAACTGCACTTTTAAAGAAGAACTAATTCTAATTCTTATTAAACTATTTAAAACAACTAAAAGGAGGAGAACACTTCAAAAGTCATTCTATGAGGCCAGCATTATCTTAATTCCAAAGCCACATAAAAACAGATAAGAAAAAAGAAATATAAACTAATATCCCTGATGAACACAGATGCAAAAATTCTCAGGAAAATATGAGCTAATGGAATTTAACCACACATCAAAAAGACCAAATGGGATTTATCCCAGGGGTGAAGGAATGGTTCTATATATACAAATCAATAAACATGATATAGGATATCAGCAAAATAAAGGCTAAAATCCATTTGATTATCTCAATAGAGGCAGAGAAATCATCTGATAATGCACAACATCCTGATCTGATTTTAAAAAATCTCTTAACAAATTGGGTATAGCAGAAGTATTGTTCAACATAATCAAGAAATGTCCAATATGCCCACAGCCAAAATCATATTGAATGGGGAAAAGCCAGAAGCATTTCTACAAAGAGCTAGAATCAAGAAGAAGGTCCACTCTCACCATTATATTTCATGTCGTTCTGGAAGTTTAAGTCAGAGCCATATGGCAACCAAAAGAAATCAAATGAATACATATTGAAAAAGAGAAAATTAAATGATCCCTCTTTGCAGATGATATGATCTTATACACAGGGGAACCAAAAGACTCATGTGCATGCATGTGTGTGTGTGTGTGTGTGTGTGTGTGTGTGTGTGTGTGAGAGAGAGAGAGACAACATATCCAAAGCAAATTAAATCAGCATACATAAAACTTACCCATATTCACATATTTATAGCAGCTTAATTAAAAAAAAAACTAAGCCACACAATCAACCTAGATGTCCATTAATTGCTGAATGAATAAAGAACATGTGATATACATATATACATACACACACATATATACATGAGTGATGGAATATTAATCATGAAAGAGTGAAATTCTGGCATTTGCAACAAAATGAATCAAGCTGTAGATCATTATGCTAAGCAAAATATCATTAAGCTAAGCAATAAAAGATAAATATCATGTTTTTCTCTTACATGCATAAATAACGAGTGAAGAAAAAAACTGTGTGGATAAACCATTTGGCATACACTTACAAATAGTGCTTTGATTCATCATACCATATAAATGAGAATATACCCTTAAGTCACAAATAAAACAAAAGAAATGGGAAAATAATAAGACTGCTAGGTATGAAGATGCTTTCCTCTTATTTTGAGTGTTAGCTATGAATGTGATCACATGCCACACAAACTCGTTTATCTGTGTACACATGTACATTTCTTGATAAGCATAATGTAGTTCAATAAAATGTTTAAGAAAACAATTCTAAGATAAAACACTTGACATTTTGACATCTGAATGCTAAAATTCAATTACAAGCTAAATTATCTTTAAGACACCAAACTCACAAATCCAGTAATATAATTCTATAATCCTAGAAAACAGAATGAATTTGAACATTGGATTAAAACTCTAATAACTAATTTCTAACTTACTTTCAATTATGTAATATGGCACTTCTTATCAACCATGTATAAAAGCTTTTAAATCTACATTTATGTTGCTTAATTTATTTGAGTAAATATATAGGTAAGAGATTCTATTTGACCCGTTTTTTTGTTTTCAGATTTATTTATTTTAAAGGTAGACTTACAGAGGGGATAAGCAAGAGACAGAGAGAAAGAGAGAGAGAGATCTTCCTGTTCATTCCTTAAATGATTGCAAAGCAAACAGGAACACCATCTGGTATCTCCCACATAGGTGGCAGGGAACCAAGTACTTGAACAATCTTCCTTCCCTATCATTCCCCATCATTCTGCCTTTCAAATAAGTGAAAATAAATATTAAAAAGGCAGAAATTGCAGTTATTAGTGAAATGGCTTATAGTAATCCAAATATTTAAAAAATTTTAATATTTTCATAGGCATGACTTGCGTAAGAAAAATGGATGCTGGTATTAATGTAACACAAACTTTATTAGACCAGGAGATAATGTAGAAGAGGTAAGAACATAGGTCTTGAACCCAGACAATCCTAGGTTTAACCTTATCTCGGTCATTCACAAGTTCTCACTCTCAGTTTAATCCTAAGCTCTACCTTCTAATAAGTTCTGAGGCTTGACATCATTAAAATGGAGATGACAAAACCTACTTTGTGAGGATTAAATGACAACACCTACGTGAAGTGATTATCTCTGGAACTGAGAAAAGACAAATGAAAAAAAAAATTTTTTGTGTGAATCATCTAAAACATAGTTATGTGAAAAATCTGGAGGCTGACCTATTCCACAGATATTTCCAGAATTTACATTGCATAACTCAAAAACGTGCTTTTTGTTTTAGTGCCAAATACTCCTGTCTTCTGAATGCATTTACTTATTGTTTTCTTTCCATTTTATGGACGAAGGAATAGAACAAATAGTATTTTCTGAATTGCTTCCTCAATGCTTTAAGGTAATTGTTTGCAAGAACACACATATCTAGAGTCATCTTGTATACATTATGTAAAGTAAGCATCCTTGAGATCATCATAACCTTAAAACTCAAGTAGGCCCTTAACATTGCCCAGTAAACTCACATATATGCCTAGCCTGTCTACCCTTTCAATTTTCCAGACCACTTCTCAAACCTTGCACACCCTCACAATTGTTACTTTTTGATTTTGCTTATTTCCTTACTGGAAAACTGAAGCCTATGCTAAAGAATTTGCATAAAAGTATACTCCACCAAAAGGTATATGAAGAGAATTCTACATTTTCAGCTATTATCTTAGATGACTTTTCAACTACTCTGATAATTTTAATACTCCCTATGTAGGATATATTTTTCTGTAGTCTCATACTTTTATGTTATATTATCAGTCACACCTTGCTAGTTCAACTTCTTCCACTTAACCTCTAAAATGAAATATTATGTAGTTCATTCCTTTTCCCTCTCTTCTCTCTGTCAAAACTCACCCCTTGCATAATCTAATTTGGGCTGATTTTAAATAACATTCACATTCCTACAAGTCTAAATTACATGTGTCTACCCTAAAGCTCAGTCTTCAACCACACTCTTCTTCTCACTGCCTATCAAACACTTACATGGAGGTCTGACAGGCATCTCCACATTCATGATCAAATAGATCAAAAGATGTTCCCACCACATATGGGCTGAGGGTCTTCCTCATTTTAAGGTAAGCCCCTCTAACCTGTGAATTTCTCAAGGAAACCTTTGGAGTGTTTCTTGACACCCTATCTTCTCTCCTGCCCCACATTTAATTTCTAAGAAACTCTAAGATCGCTTGTTAGTTTTTGAGCTTCCATCAGATATTTTTCTCATATATAAACTGAAAAGTTTTGAAATATGTTTCATTTCTTAAAAAATTATCAAATATATGAAAAATAGGTGATTAATTAGGGCTTTAAAAAAGGAAATAGATTACTATAAGTATGCCTCAACATCCATAATCAAATCAAACACAATCACTGCAAGAATGCTTGAAATTATATAATAATAATCATATAATAATAATTACATATAATTATTATATAATTATTATTTGTAATTAATATTATAATTATAATATATTGTGTTTGTTGTTATATTTATAGTTATTATATTAATAATTATAATTAATTATTTATGATTAATTTATATTTATTATCATTAACAATTATATTATTATTATATAATAATAATATAAACCAAAAGAACAATATTCTCAAAATTATTAAGAAAGATAAATATCCCCAACATCTTCCTCTGCATCTTCGTAATTTTAGTATTTCAGGTTAAATATCAAAGGCATTCATGCAAACAATATAAAATGCATTAAGATATCTTCCAGATACTTTATAAAATGTAGCTCAGAATAGAAATTGAAAAAAAATGGCATGAACTTTGAGCAAAAGAATGGCATGACTTACAGGAGAAATAGGAGTTGTAAACATTTAATGTGATCAGTTTCAGTTCTCTCAGCAATTGCGTGACTATCCCCATACTTCACAAAGGAACAAAAATGGGGTTAAAAAGGCTGTGGAAGCTATCCAACACAGACAGCAGAATATGGTCCCAGGCTGTCTGATTATAGACCCCATGCTTCTTTGTGATCCCTACACTAATGATACGTAGACCTTAAGTAAGTCTGGTACCATGGCTTAGTGCGTAAAGCTGCCATCTGTGACAACAGCATCCCATACTGGCACCATTTTTGAGTACTGGCTACTCCTCTCTCCTGATCCAGCTCTCTGCCAATAGCCTTGGAAACGCAGTGGATGACTGATCAAGAGCTTGGGATCCTGCCAGCCACAAGTGAGACCTGGATGAAGCTTTTGGCTCCTGGCTTCAGCCTGGTCCAGCACAAGCCATTGCAATCACCTGGGGAATGAACTAGTGTATGAAAGCTCTCTCTCTCTCCCACATGCTTTCTCTTGCCCTCTCATCCTTGAAACCCTTTCAAATACATAAATAATTTTTAAAAAGACATCTCAATAAGAACAACCAAAATTCATGAGTTCACTTAAACTTCAAAATTTACAAGCAGAGTTATTAAGAGGGTTTGGAAAAGAAAATTATCAACTGCACTGATTCACAAAAGTTTGTCCAAGCAATTAATTTATGAGCTAACTTTTCCTACCAAAATCTAAAAATCAGTAAATAAACAGAGAACATACACATTCCAAATACGCAAGAAATACAACACAGCATATATGTGTGTAAACAAACATATAATCCAGAGGTAAAAATTTTTACTTTCTTAAATATAATTAAGAAAGGAATCTGACAAAAATGTTGAATCTGACCCACTGATTTATCCTGTATTTTTTATTCATTCTCGATTTCTCAGAATTAAAGGAGGAAATTATTGAAAACGTGGCAAGTACCCCAACTAATACCAGGAAACGCTCTGCAATAATCAATGCTGTCTTCAGTTAACATTATTAAGAATAAACAGGAGACAGAGATCAGAAGAATGATTTGGATCAAGGGTAACTTACTAAAACTGTCAAGGAGATATGGAAAACTAACAAATGAATAAAATGGGTAAACCAGAGACCCTCATAAAGTATCATAGAACTTTCCAACTATGAATATGCAAGAGTAAGGTCAAAGAGTTAAAATAGCTATCTTATGTCAAAAGGCAATAATGACAAAGAGCAAACCAAACACAATATATAGCAAGAAATAACAGAAATTTGTGATGATTTAATTTCTTACTTCTTTGCTTTTTGTAACTTCTGCAATAGCAGCAGTCCTTTGCTTTTCAAATTCATCATTATCATTTGCAGGCTTGACAGGCATTGTAACTTGCAATGTCTTTCTGCGATCAAGCTCTCTGCTATCCACTTGGACATGAGACACACACTTCTGGTAAAACAAATGAAAATAAATTAGTGGTTCCAATAAACATTCAAGTTTTCAACAGAAAATAACATTTCTTACAAGGATTCCTACAAGGATGAAAGGTCACAAAACTGCAATTTTAACCTATAGTTTCAAAAATAAAGATAGAACACTAACACTAGAGTTACTCTTAAATAAATTTATCTAGTAAATAAAAGTAAAAGAAAGCTATAGAAAAAATGTGGTCATGTAAGCCAGGGAACAAATGAGGGCTTTTTTAGAAAAGTTCTTGGGAAGAAGCTGAAAAGGAAAATGTCACTGAAAAGGAAACTAAATTCCTCAGATTGAGTGTTCAAATTGAGGCAGAAAAGCATAATCCAGGGTAAAAGAACAGAGCAAGCCCCACAAAGCAGCACAGGGACGCATTTCCTGACTCACATGTACTCACCTTGGAGTGTTCCTTACAACCTTTCTTCCTCCGTCCCTCTTGATTTTACAGAACATAATAGAAATTGTGGCATATTTCTGACTTTGTACTTTGTCTTAAAAAAATAGGAATTGTACTTTCCTACTAATAGCAATTTGGTCTTTAGAGATAGCTCTTATTTGTTTCAACTTTAAGGTTAACAGCAAAATTAGTAATTCCTTAAATTCCATATTTCTAACTATATAATCTCAGAATAAATAATTCAGCACAAATCAAAACAGATTGAATACAGATGATAAACATTTTTCCCTGATGTAATTCAACTGGTAAATGTGCACATCAGTACCTGTCCAAAAGGCACAAAAGGAGGGGGTCCACCTTCAGTTCCAATATTACTTCTACTATGTTTGGATAAGCTCTGTGAAAAGAGAGAATAGAAACTACACATTAAAAAAAGATTTTCAGCATTTATATTTTGCTAGGAAACTATTTTTCAATTTTTACATATTTGTAAAACTTATTTGAAAGGCAGAGACAAGAGAGACAAACAAAAGCAATCAAACAGAGCTTCCATCTGCTGATTCACTCCCTAGTAGTCTTCAAGGGCCAGAGCTTAGCTGCGGCCAGAACTCAAACCAGGTTTTCCACATGGTGGTAGAAACTAATTACTTGAGTCATCACTGATGTCTCCAGTGGTGTGCGCTCGCAGGAAGTTGGAGTCAGGAGTAAAAGCCAACAGTCAAACTGAGGCTCTGTGATACAAAAAATGGGTATCTTAATCATAGATTAAATGTCTGTTCCGCATTTTGAGTAGATTCTTGGGAGACAAATTGGAGAAAAACCTTCGCTAAATTATTTTAAACTATACTAAATACTACATTCCTAATTTCAATAATTAGGCAAAAGTCTAATCACAAATATTTTTCAAGGCGTTCTCCTGAGAATTAAAAAGAATTTTTCAATAAGTAGTAAAAATTTTCACTTCATAAAGCACATTAAAATTTAACTTGACAAATATTACTTAGAAATTAAAATCAAAATTAAGAATCGGGGTGGGTATTTAGCCCTAGCAGTTAAAATGGCTGGATTCTGTATCAGAGTACCTGGTTGAACACTGAGTTCCATCTGCTGATGCTAGCAACCAGTAAATGTACAATCCAAAAAGCAATGGTGGTAGCAAAACTGAGTTACTGCCAACCATGTAGAAGACCTACCCAGTACCAAGTGTTATGTACAATTTGGACAGTATATGAGTCAATGGGAATTTCTCTCTGTTTCTTATAACAGTGATAAAAGTTCTAATTATTTAAAAATATCAAATATTTATTGTTTATAATATGGAAGTACTTTCAATTTTAGTAAAATTATTTTAATATTATGTTTTGCAAAGCAGTTGTACTTAAAAAAGGCATTCAGTCAACTGAACATTGTTAATGAAAGTCAGCTTCCAAACCCTATTAATATCATTTTTTTCCCCAAACTCTCAAAATATTAGAAGTAGAAAATAACATATTATGGAAATGGAAAAAAAATCTTTCTAGCAAATGTGTTCCCTACACAGTTTGGTTCTCTTCACCTATAAAACTCCTTCAATATATCATAGGCCTCAGAAAGACTATTTTTATTCATCTATTCCTCCCTATACATTTTGTTTCTGATTGTTAATACACCTGTTAAGCTCTAGCTGTAACTCAACACATCTTCTCAACTTTGTTTTGTGTATTTTAAATAATTATCATTACAGAAAATGTTAATTAAAATTTGATATGGGGGGCAGGTGTTGTGGCACAATGAGTTAAGCTGTCACTTGGATGCCTGCATTCTATTTCAAAGTCCCTGGGATCAAGTCCTACCTTTGTTTCTGATCCAGCATTTTCCTGTCATTGTATCTGACAGGCAGAAGATAATGTACCAAGAGTATACAGTATGGCAGTCATGCAAAAAATTACTAATAGAATTACCATATAATCTACCTATTTCACTTTTGGATATGGCAAAGAATTAAAAGAATATACTTGAATAAATACACAATCACACACACAATAGGCAAGAAATTGGATTAACTCTAACGTCCACTGATAGATGACAAGCAAAATGTGATAAACACAATGATATATTAAGTAGCCTCACAAAGGAGAGAAATCCTAATATATGGTAATAATATGGATGAATCCTAAAGTTACTAAAGAAAAGTAAGTATAAATACAGTATATTTCCACATTATAAGGTACCCAGAACAGTCAAATTCATACAGACAAAAAAGCATACTGATGGCTGTCAGAGGCAGGAAGAAAGGAAGAATGTGAGTTATTGTTTAACAGGGACAAAGTTGTGGTGAGAGATGATAAAAAGGTGGGCAAATGTATTGTGATAATGGCTGTGCAACAATGTGAATTTACATAGTGTCACTAAATTTTGTACTTAAAATGGTTAAAAAGGTATTTAACATTACTTTTTGGTTGTCAAAATATAAATCAAACAGAAAACAATCCATTTCATGGCACCAAAATGATACAGAACTCCTTAAAATCAGAACACTTAAACGTTTTAAGGTTTTGTTCTTCCCTTCTTTCAACTTTCTGTGGCTTGGCTACTATATTTAACACATTGAATGCAGTTTAATATTGGATGCTTCCTATCCCTATTATACAAGTATGTTTAGGGATCCTTTATTTCCAAAACTATCAATGCATTATGATTTCTGTGTGCACATATGATTGCTCTGTGTGCCAGGTGTTCAAGTATCCAGCTGCCTTTTCCACATTGCTATGGTTACCAAATAAAAAAACTATAAAATGTTTTTAAGCTGTTTTAAATGTCAATTTTATTCACTCTTTAACAAAAAACGTCAATGTGGTTCTTAGGGAGCAAAATGTAAATACAAATGAAACATTTCATGGACACCTACTGTTAAACTAGTATTAACTAGTATTAATCAGTATGTGTACCTATGCATTAGGAGTAATTAAGCTCCTAAAAACGTTTACCCCTATGGCTCCTAGTAAAGTGATTCAGGAGGAATTATGGGAAAACTATGTAAGATGTTGGCCAATCTTGAGAATATGCTACTGTACTTTTAAAAACCCTTATAAGGGCCCAGCACAGCAACTCAATTGGCTAAATTTCCCCTTTCTAGTGCTGGGATCCCACTTGGGCACCAGTTTGTGTTCCAGCTGCTCTACTTCCCATCCAGCTCCCTGCTTATGGCATGGAAAAGCAGCTCCCTGCTGATGGCATGGAAAAGCAGTGGATGCAGGCTCAAAGCTTTGGGACCCTGCCCCCACATGAGAGACCCAGAAAAAGCTCCTGACTCCTGCCTTCTTCAGATCTATTCAGCTGCATCCATTGCAGCCATTTGGGGAGTGAACTAGTAGATGGAGAATCTTTCTGTCTCTTCTCTCTGTCCTTCCAAATAAAATAAAATAAAATAAAATAAAATAAAATAAAATCTAAACAAACTCCTGATAAAAGTGAATACATCAACTTATGAATGGAACACATAAAATCGGTAGAATTTCTGTAGGAAACTCAAGATTCATATATAAAGTTGGCTACTTATGTAAAACTGTTAAACTTCTGAATTACTTGATTTTGCCACATTTTTAATTAAACAATGCATTTGTGGAGCATTACCTCATCTTTCATAAGAGAGCAACATGTAATATAGCACATTAGTATAATAAGGAATGAGTATTATCCTTCCAACTAATTAAAGGCAGTAGATGATCATAAAAAAACAAAACCTTAAAAATACTACTAGGCACTTGTCTAACTTTAGGCAAAATTTGAAAGTAGCTAAAGAGCATCAATTTTAGTTCAAAGAGTAATTAGTTTTATATGGTTTGCAATTCATTTATTCCACAATTATTTTTTATTATGTCTATCACACACAAGGCTCAGGGTCACCACTTTAGAGATAAAAAAAGGCTACTGACAGAATACAGAATACTGGTCTCATAATTCTGCTCAGAGCCACCGAATCATAAGGTTACCAAACAATTTCAAAAGTCCACTTTCTAGAGGCCAGCATTCTGCAATAACAAATTAAGTGTCTGCCTGAGACATTGGCATCCATATCAGAGCACATATCAAGCCTCAGATAGTCCACTTCTAAACCAGTTCCCTGATAACACTCCTGAGGAAGCAGCAGGAGATGATCCAGAACTTGGGGCTCTGTCGCCCACGTAGAAGGCCCTGATCAGAGTCCCAGGCTCTTGACTTCCAATCTGGCCTTTGTAGCCACTGGGCAAGTGAATGGGCAGATGGAATAGCTTTGTTTTTCTATCTCTCCTTCTCTCTGTGTAACTCTTTCAAATGAATAAACAACATTTTTTTTTCAAAATCCCATTTTCTAATCTACATGTCTTTATGAGACTATCAGACACAGATGCAGGAGCCAGCACAGCATCTACACATTACCCAGTGATTCCCTATAGAACTAAATAAGAACAAATGACACAAACAAAAATTTTGATGTCAATAAACTTACTGATTATGAAAGGAAATGAGAAACAAATATAATTTTAGAGCTAGGTAAAATATAATTTAATCTTAGTAAGGATAAAAAGCTTTGACAATTCCGTAATGGTGTTCCACTGCTTAACTTGATGAAGAAGCAGGCATTCAACCTAGCTCTAAAAGGATAGAGACAACCTGGCCAGGTGGGGATCAGGAAAGTGAAAATAAGATGAATGGCATCAAGGGACAAATTTTTTCCTTTTACAAAAGTAAAACTGAGGAAAGCATAATAATCAAAGAAAGAATAATAATTTCACTTGGTTAGGACCAAATCAATGTGAAAGAATTAGAAAGTTGAAAAGATAAACTAAAACTAAGACCATATAATAAATGGCCTTGAATCACAAATTAAAGTATTCAAAATACTACAATGTTAATATTTCAATTATTAGTTTATATACAACTGGGTTCTATACGCCTTCAGATGGCTATAGATTACTATTCAGCTGTCTCATGTCTATTTTAATTTTAGTATTTAGCAGTTTATAGCATTGTAGCATGATTTTGCAGAACCTGGCTGTTTTTCGGGTAGTCTAACTCTGTAATTCTTACAAGACATACGTCAGCAAGTTAGGTGAACAGTTTTAGGATAGGATGTGGTTCAGAACTTGCATTCTTTTTTTCACTTTTTTATTTTTTTCTCTCTTTTAACATGTTGGTTACTCAATACCATATCAACTAATGCCATTATGTTATAAATTGTTACTGATGTAATGTCGGGGCTTTTAATTGATTGGGATGATACTCTGTCAGCTCTACCTTCAGACCAGAGATGGTCTCCCCAAGAAACCGTTGAACTTATCTGGACAATAAGATACTGAACTTTATGCTTGGTAGATGCTTGCAATGAAAGAATCTCAACTGAATTTGAACTGTGGTAATGCAACAAGGTGGAGGAATCCACCATGGGGGGGGGGGGTTGGGGAGGGGGGGAACTCCAGTGCCTATAAAACTGTGTCACATAATGCAATGTAATAAAAACAAAATACTACAAAGTGATATATTCTGAACTATGCTCATTAAGATAAGCATAAAATGTATATACAATAAATTAGGCAATTGGAAAAGAATAGGTGGAAATATACTTAAAAGATTGCTGCAGCAGTCCATGTTAAGAGAAACTGAAGATTTAATTCACAGAATCAGGAACAGAAGTGGAAAGTTAGGAGCTGAGGACAGATTTTTTCCATTATTTATTAATTTTCACTTACTTAAATGGCAGTGTAAGGTGGGGGAGAGAGAGACAGGGAAAGAGAGACAGGAATGTTTCATTCCCTCATTCACTTCACAAATGAGTGTAAAGCCACAACTGGGTTGGAATGAACACAGAGGTTAAGCTCTTGAAGTGTCATCATTCGTTGCCTTCCAAGTTGAATCAGCAAGAAGCTGACTGCCACTCTGATATAGGATATAGATGACTCAAGTCGTAGTTGAACTCACAACACAACAACCTGCCCCTGGTCCTGACAATTCAGTGTGGTAGAGCAAGTTAATTGGTTATTGGAAGGAAAGTGGAGCAATTATGATTATATAACTGAGCAGAAGAAAATATTATTAATATAATCAACACAACTAAGAAGTTATACACAAGAATCATTTCTTCATAGCAAAATTCTAATTCACATTCATTTTCATATATATATATGCACATATATATGCCCATACTGTATTCATATATATGCAGAAACACTTCTGTTGTTTGCAGAAACTAGTAAATACAGACATTATACACTGCTGTTTACTTCTATCTTAGCACTTCAAAACGCATCAGTAAAGAATGAGTTCTTAAAAGATGGGGGCTAGTATTATAACACAGCAAGTTAAGCTGCCTAATGTCACAATCTCACACGAGTACCAGTTTCAGTCCTAGCTGCTTCACTGCAGATCTAGCTCCCTGCTAACACAGCTAGTAACGCACCTGAAAATGGCGACAGTACTTAAGCCTCTGGCACTTGTGAAGGAGACCCAGATGGAGTTCCGTGCTCCTTGCTTTGGCCTGGCTTAGCCCTGACCATTACCACTGTTTTAGGAGTAAGCTAGAGTATAAAACACTTCTCTCTGTAACTGCCTTTCAAATAATTAAGTAAATCTAAGAAAGTTAAGAGGAGGCAGGGTGGGATTGAGTGAGAAGTTATCACTTCTTATGTTCTTAAAACTAAATATATGAAATTTGTTTCCTTTACATAAATAAAAAACTAAAAATAAATAAAGTTTAAAATAAAAACATACATGGAATAAAATATAAAAACTAATGAAACATTGTACCTGCTGTTGAGGAAGAACATACTTACATAATGACACATAGTTTCTCTTAAAATCAACATATTCCATCCTGACCCAATAACAAATTTTGCTACTCATTATAGGAAGAGCTTTTTAAGATGAAAGAATTTAACAAAAAATGTATAACAGTTTGAAAGTAGAAGAGCTTTTTAATATGAAAGAATTTAACAAAAAATGTATAACAGTTTGAAAGTAGAAGCTGTTTTTCTTAGTTGGCACTTACTCTCTGTAACTCCCATTTCTCAATAAGGTGTTCCACTTCTCCACCAAGAACTGTGGTGTTAGAGTCATTTAAGAGCAGGAAGCCATTTTTCACATCAACAATGCCAGAGAGTTTAACTTTAGTTCCAGGTGGAGTGTTCAGGCTTCAGCAAAGAAAAACAAAGAGTTAAAAACACATGTAAACTCCTCCCCCAAACTGGAACTCAGTCCTATATTATGACCTAATCAAACTCTTCAAAGGTCACTGACACAAAAACTCTTTTTCAAGAGACTGGCCACACAGATTGACTAGATCATTAAGGAAGAAGTTAGAACACCAAGGAAAAGATACTCATTTTTCCAGCTTTTAATGGAAAAAAAAATGTGGACAGTAACAACCATACCATAACCTTTTTATAAACAAGATAAAAGATATGAAAATACTTGTTCATATCATACTACACAAATATAAAATTTGTCATTTTTCCCCTGTGTTTTAGCTGTGCACCACTGTAACATACTATGCTATAAAATTAAATTTCAACAGAAAAAAATTACCATTAATAATTTGGGGAATTTTATACTTAAGTATTTAATATTTAATTTAATATTTAATTAGCTTTACGCTAAACACCTCGTTAGAAATTATCAATGTGAGTTGTTTATACAATAACATTAAAAGGACATTTTATACACTAACCTTATACTGTTTACTATTTGTATACACACTTAAAATATTTTTCCATAATTAATAACATTATTAGGCCACAATTCCTTTTACAAACACCAAACTTAAGAGGCTTATCTTTTAACCAATCTTTCCGCAAAAGAAACAAGAGAACCAATCTGTGCCATCACAAATGTCTGCTCTAAAGTAAAGCATATATAACAAGCTCTTCCTTCCTCCCTGCGCCCTATAGCAAAGGTTGGAATACTGCAGACATTTCTGACACAGAATCATATTGTACATGGTTTTAAAACTCATGAAAATAAGCATATCCTAATATATGCAACAGCAAATCAGTGGATGTTAAATGCCACTTGTCTTTTCTGTAAAAAGATAATTAATAAGATAGCTATAGAATATTTTTTTCTAATGCCAAAGACCCTACACATAGATTACAAGCTAAACAGTATTCTGTATGTCTTATACATATACAATTTTATATGTCACTGATAACAAATCCATTAAAAATTACCACTGCACTCCAAGTTTAACATTCTCAGTCACCACTCAACTTAAAAAACAAATGAAGAGCCTTTCTAACCTAACCCTTCAGAAGAAAGTTCCATAGTAGATATTTGTAATGAAGTTAGAACAAAGTCTATCAGACTGCAAAATCAGCAATGATGAAACCATTATGAGTATGTTTTTTCCAGTTCAAGGTAATCCACAAATCCAGATTTTCATAATCCTATAGTATCATTTAGGGATAAATAAAAATATAAGTACCAAGAATTTCAGATAGTTGTATTTTGCTTTTGAAAACAAAACCAAAAATCAGTGAACAGTGAAGCAAGAAGCTAGACAAGAGACAAAGAAGCATCACAGGGAAATGTAATGCTTGTTTGTGGCAACACATTCCTGCTAGCACCTCATTTATCTCAGCCAGATTTCTTTGATCTTCCTTCTAAGGTAACCACAGATCAAATCTATCTGAATAGCAGTCTAAAATATTGCATCTAAGAATGCTTTTCAAAGTTGTCATGATTATGGCATCAAAAGGAGCATGCTGCTCCGATGATGAGTGAAGAATGTGGTAGTGATTGTTTTAGTTGTCAAACTGCAAAAGATTCAACAAAATGGCATAGAAGTCCTTGGTGAATGAAGCCTCTTCTACAGGCTGACCTTACGTTTTCATTCCCTTCAGAGAAATACACAACCCTATAACCACAGAAACAGTTACCCTATGGGCTGTCTTCCTTCTGAGTCACCTGTGAACTACCTGGGAGGGGGTCCAATGGGGAATTGTCAAAGGAAAAAAGGTTGTACTTCAACAAAAATCAAAATCCTTCTCCTCTTGAAAAAGAAGGCAGAATAATGACAGAGTCAGCAAACTCCTGTGTATATGAGAACCACTTAGACAATCAGAGACTGCATCTTTGGAGAAGTTAGCCTCCCTTGCAAGAGTGTGTGTGTGTGGTGGACAGCAGGGGACAGGGAGGAAATCACTGCAGGTGACAGGCTACACATTTCCCCCTACAGCCCAAACCACCTAAGTACCTCCAAATGGGCCCTGTCACTTTTGTTAGGACTTTGTGACTCTGCACGCCCAACCCCACCTCCCACCTTTTTCAAAGCTCCTGCTTTTATTTAAGTCCCAATCATCATTCTTCCAGGTTATGATAATTTTCTAGACTCCTAGTCCTCTCCCTGGTATATTTATTATAATCACAACATGCCTATACAGTTACATAATTGGTATATGAGCAACTGGAAGGCAAAATAAACTCTGTTTACTTTTGTCCTTGCAGCATTGCAGAAAGAAGCTGCAGTGGATACTGAAACACTGTAAACACTAACTTGTTCAAGAGAAAAGTATGCTCTGGGAGCACATGTTAAGTGAAAAAAAACACATCATAACACTTCATATGACACAGAATACTAAATATGATAACTCAGGAGAGGTTAAAAATTTTTTTGCAAATTTTAGCAAAACTGTTCACCTCAAAATATAATGTTCAAAGTGACCTAGATGTTTTAGCTTTGTCTATATCTACAATGCACTTTTACAGCAGAAAAACTTGTAACTGCTACTAAATTTACTAAATTTAAACTTGTAACTATTACAACTGTAGTAATACGGGGGAAATGGGGAGGAGGGAACCCCTATGCCTATAAAACTTTATTGTGGAAAATATTAATTTTTTTAAAATGCCTAATGGTTTACTGAGGATAAAATGGACATGTTACCTCCCTTCTCACTGCATTTCTCCATTAGACAGGATTCTCAAAATTTCTCATAAAAATACCCAAAGATGTAAAATGGGGAAAAATCTGTCAAGGGGTGGGAGTTTGGGAAGGAATCCTAGCCTATACAAAATTGTACCACATAATTCAAATTCAAAATAAAAATATATTTAAAAAATAGTCAAAGAAGCACTTGCGAAGCTATTCCTTGGGGAGTTCCTCTTTGTTTTAGGAAGCGGGGTAGTACATGAACTTCATTTGTTTCAATAATTTTCCAAGAAAAGCCACTATCCTCTAAAACATTGCAAAAAATATTATATAATTATATACACTCACTTACTAAGCTAACTGCCAAGGAAGACATCAACATGTTTAAAGAAATATTCTTTCTTCTTAACAACTGAATGACAAAACTGAAAGGACTATTTCCAAGAACAAATAACTTATACTCTTGGTTTTATGATGAAAAGTGAATTAAAGAGCAACTAACTCCATTCTCAGCTTCCTTTCTACACACATAACACTGAAATACCAAGATCTAGCTTCTCCTCAAAAGAGCATAACGTGTACTTAAGAGCAGTTCACTGCTTCTTAATGAAATTCTTAAAGTAAAATTATTTTGAATAGCACCTGCACACACTGTGTAACAAACAGATGAAATAAAGCCTCAGGCACCTTATTTTTGACATATAACTGAATTCTACTGCTGTGCAGTTTATGTGACCATCTGTCATCTGTAATCGCAGCATCCTGGGTGCAGCCTGAGATTCTTCGTTGTCCTTTGGTGCAGCAACATTGCGAATTTTTTGAATTTGCAAAACACATGGACCTTCAAGCTGCCAAAACACAAATGAACAAAAATCACTCTGTAATCTTGGCTGTTTTTCTCATCCTTACACTTCATGTTTTGTAATAATAACTTAAATGTAATTAAAAACTAAAGTTATTGAAGACAGTCCTTTTAAAAAGTTCTCAAAGTTGTCTCACAACATGTTTGTCCTTTCGTTGGGGAGTATTTAAACATAAAAAAATCTCAAAAGTCCCTTGAAGAACAACTTCTTTTAAAAATTATAACAGTATGAAGAAAACAAAACCTTACTAAAACAAGTTATTTTACTCAAATAAAACTAATTGACTCTTTTTTTATGTGCTATTAATGAGCACATAAATTATGTGCTCTGAATGAATGTTCACATTCATCCTGTTTCTACACTGACATATATTTAGAGACAGTTTAAAAATAAGGAACTTGAGAATTTTTTAAGCAACATCAACTTTATGACAGAAGTTAGAAGGAATGCTTTCTGTTCAAAATAATCAAGTATCAATTGCACCCTCTTCTGGTATAAATGAATACAAAACCCAAAAAACTTGACCTGTAGAAATTTCAAGAAGTCTAAGTTGTACTAAACATTTCCACATTTCTATTCTTAAATTATATTCAATCTAATGCTGAATCTTATGTGTTGGTAAAGAAATTTTCCCTCTAAGCAAATTTCAAAGACACAAATGAAATCAATATGCTAGCCATTAAGGTATTGTTTTATTTTATAAAATCTTTATCATAAGGTCAGGAAATGACTGAAATCTGCATATATGTTGAAAATAAACTTAACATAAGTAAATACCACACAATACACCTTTAATTAGTATCACAACTTATGGGAGAAGTCTATTAAGTAAAATCTTTTTGTTCACATTAAATTAATTTATACTTTCAGCAAAGAAAAATGGCATCAATTGGCAAACATTTATACTTCATTTGTCAAGTAAGCATGTTCACAAGTTTAAAATTTTTTACTCCGTACTTACCAGCAGTTTCCCTACAAAGGAAAAATTTTGTTACAGATATGACTTTTCTGAATACAGCAAGAAGAAAGAGTCTGAAATTTCATCTCATTATCAACTATAAGAAAAAATTCCAAACAAGTTCCAAGCCCTTAATTAGGATAGATAAGCAGCTAAATCAATATTAACTTCTTTTTTTTGTTTGTTTTGTGAATGACAAAACAGAGTCATGAAATTAAATCACAGGCAGGTTATAGCTATTCTATTGTTCATCATTCTCATGATTTTAGTGCTCTCAATATATTTAGCCTGGGCCTTAACCAATATCTTGCCTATACTATCCAATAGGGTTTGCCAATTCACAGGGACCTATTTAAATTAACTGAAATTAAGTGAAATTAAGTTAAGTTGCTTGATTGATTGTACTATCCATATTTCAAATGTTCTACATTTGGAAAGCATAAAACCCAATTGTATCATTGCAAAAAAGCTCACTGACAACGAGTGACGACCTAGTTTCACATGTTTCAAAGTAAGGTTCATCCATTCCAGGGACTGAATTTCCATTAAACTACAGGAGATAAACAGGTTTCTACTTTATTTTTACTAACAAAGAAATTAAACTTTAAAAATATTCAGTATCCTGAGTGACAAGGGCTCCCACACTCAATTCATATGACCTATGGGTTACAAAATCATCTCTGTGGGATAGTGGGAGCGCTAGAGCCCACGGATGTTGATATGGCTCCTTCAGCTGCTTGCCATCAATGTGCTTTATTTATTTATTTATATATTTTTTGAAAATCAACTGCTTTTTGTGTGTTCATAGGTAATTGGATATAGATTATATTACATAACTAACCATTAATATTCACAATATGGACAGGTCACTTTAAAAGATGTTGACAAAGAAATACAAAATGCAGATATGGGTAACGACTACTTTGTTGGTCTCCTACGTCTTGTTGACAGAAACAAAAAGCTGGAAAATAACAGAAAAGAACATTGCCTCCTGATGTTCTAGCAACCAGCAAGTTTATTGAATGCATTTCAGTGCATTGAATAGTTGTTTATTCCACAAAATAGGAATGCCTCAAATCTACAAATGTGGCCTCAATTGGGAAAAGGATTTTTTTTCTTTCATATATAAGGTAAGAATGTTTACGATGAAAACATCTTGTAGTAGCATGAGCCCTAAAATCAAAGACAACTGTCCTTATTAGCTTATTAATTCACTGATGATACTAAATAACATGCTTGGGTATCAATTAGATTATCTAAAGCTTGTTCTAACTTTAAAGTTAAACTGATATTTTTTAATACTCTAGAAATCATTTAGGCATTTTATGAAACTAAATCCAAAAATCTTTGCCAGCTATTTCTTTTTTCTTTCTTTTTTTTTAAATTGGAAAGTCAGATATACAGAGAGGAGGAGAGATATAAAGATCTTTCAGTGGCTGATTCACTCCCCAAGTGGCCGCAATGGCTGATATGGGTACCTGGGAGTGAACCAGTAGATGAAGATTCTGTGTGTGTGTGTGTGTGTGTGTGTGTGTGTGTGTGTGTGTGTGTGTGTGTGTGTGTTTCTCAATCATTCAAGTAAAAGTAAAAAATAAATTTAAAAAATGTTACAAGAGGGTCCAATTGCCTAGCAGCTAAAGTCCTCTCCTTGAACACACACCGGGATCCCATGTGGGCACCGGTTCTATTCCCAGCAGCCCCACTTCCCATCCAGCTCCCTGCTTGTGGCCTGGGTAAGCAGTCGAGGATGGCCCAAAGCCTTGGGGTCCTGCATCTGTATAGGAGACCTAGAAGAAGCCCCTGGCTCCTGGTCCCTGGCTTTGGATCAGCTCAGCTCCAGCTGTTGCAGCCGCTTGGGGAGTGAGTCATCGGATGGAAGATCTTCCTCTGTGTCTCTCCTCTCTGTATATCTGACTTTCCAATAAAAAATAAAATCAAAATCTAAAAAAAAAAAAAGAAAGAAAGAAATACTGTTCACACTATGCCACTATAAATAAAATAAAATTGTTGCCAAACAAGACCTATCAAGAAGAGGGACAAATCATTTTAGAATAACAATTTTAAAAGACACAATTTAGCAATGATTTAATGAAATATATTTAACAATGAAAAGAATCATAAAAGAGAACTTGGAACAGCCATCTAAATGTAGATAAAATAGTAAAAATTAAGACAAGATGTAATAATACATTCACAGTGGATTAATATTCAGCAATAAATAGTATAAAATATTAACACATACATAACCCTCAAATACATTTCTATTCCCATGTTTGCAGCAGCTCAATTAACAATAGAATCACATGGAATCAACCCAGACATCTATTAATTTATGACTGTGCAAAGAAAACTGCTACATATATACCTGAAATATCCAGCCATAAAAAAAAAGTGAAACCATCTCTTTTGCAGCAAAACAGAAGTAACAGTATACCATTATGTTTAGTGAAATAAACAAGAGTCAAAAAGACAAATATGAAATGTTTTCTTGGATTGGTTGTGACTAAACATAGAGCAAAAAACAATGAATGTAGATCAAGTTCAACTGACATCGGGTGATTTGATTGCTTGTCCATACTTTTGTGGAACTAACTACCTTCAACTAATAGATGTCTTGGCTGAAAGGAATACTGAGCCTGTGATTATAAAGTAGATTGAAAGCATAATCTTATAAAAAAACAAAAAGAAAAAAAGGAAAGGAAGGAAACATGGAGGAAGGGAAGTACCATTGATTCCTTTGAAATGCATCTACAAAAATTAGTGAAATAATAATTACCGCAAAAATAATTTTTTAAAGAAACACCACTTAAAACAAAATAGAAAGTTCCATGAATGAAAGTTTAAAAAGATGTACAACATATGTTGTTTCAATAAATTATAAAACTTTATGGAAAAATTAAATAAATGAGGATTCACGTCCTGGAGATATATTCTGCAGAAACCAATTCACCAGAGATTACTATGTATATTTCTTCCCAAATTCCAGTTCATTGATTTCACATCATAGCTAATTATTAGACACAGTAAGAATATTGTATTATAGAAAGTGGCAAATAGCACACAACTATTATAGCATTTAATATATATCGCTTTATGTAATCTTTAAGTTTTTTAAAAAAAGATTTATTCATTTTTATTAGAAAGTCAGATGTGCAGAGAGGAGAGACACAGAGGAAGATCTTCCATCCGATGACTCACTCCCCAAGCGGCTGCAACAGCTGGAGCTGAGCTGATCCAAAGCCAGGGACCAGGAGCCAGGGGCTTCTTCTAGGTCTCCTATACAGATGCAGGACCCCAAGGCTTTGGGCCATCCTCGACTGCTTACCCAGGCCACAAGCAGGGAGCTGGATGGGAAGTGGGGCTGCTGGGAATAGAACCGGCGCCCACATGGGATCCCGGTGAGTGTTCAAGGAGAGGACTTTAGCTGCTAGTCCACAGTGCTGGGCCCCAATCATTAAATTTTTTAAAATATTTATTTATTTAAAAGGTCTAGTGGGGGCCCAGCGCGGTGGCGCAAGTGGTTAAAGGTCCTCGCCTTGCACGCCCGGGATCCCATATGGGCGCCGGTTCTAATCCCGGCAGCCCCGCTTCCCTTCCAGCTCCCTGCTTGTGGCCTGGGAAAGCAGTCGAGGACGGCCCAAAGCTTTGGGAACCTGCACCCGCGTGGGAGACCCGGAAGAGGCTCCTGGCTTCGGATCGGCATAGTATCGGCCCGTTGCGCTCACTTGGGGAGTGAATCATCGGATGGAAGATCTTCCTCTCTGTCTCTCCTCTCTGTATATCCGCCTTTCCAATAACAAAATAATAAAAAAAATAAATCTTAAAAAAAAAAAGGTCTAGTGGCAAAGACAGAGAGAACTTGCATATACTGGGTCACTGATCAAATGCCCACAGCAGCCAGGTCTGAACCAGGTCAAAGTCAAGAGCTAACAACTCCATCTGGTTCTGCAGTGGATGGCAGGAAGCAAGTGCTTGGACTATCATCTGCTTCCTCTCAGATGCATTAGTAGTAATCTACATGGAAAGCAGAGGTAAGACTTGCTCTCATGTACGCCAATACGAGATACAGGAGTGACCTTCTGTGCCACAACACCTGTTCTGGTCTAATACTTTTCAAACTCAGCTTTTTAATATCCAAAAAGCAGCAAACACTTGTAAATGAAGCACAAAATTGGATTTCCGACATCTATTTCTCTCAAAATAAAAATGCATCTTTAATATATACCCCAAAAGGAACACTAAAAATTATATAATTTAACACAAACTAAATTAAAATATATGAAATATGATGTAATTTTATTAAAAGTAAAACTTAAAACTTTTTCTGTTGTGTTTATTTAAAAAATATCCAGTTTCTAGACTGTTTGCAAAGCAGTGAATGTACTTTGAATTTTAAGGCAGTAAAGCCATCTAGTGGCTGAAGCCAGCATTGCTGAGGCTTTGAGATGGTCACTTCTTGGAAAAACTGTCTTAATAAGTTTCATGTTTAGAGAGGCATATATAACTTATCAGTCTTAAAATTAAGGAAGGAAAGAGTAAATATAGAACTGAACACCTTTCTTGCTAGGTTTCCACAGCAATGCACAGAATCCTCATGTGTATAGAATCATAGCAAAGTAATTTTACACTAACATGTATTACCTCACTTTAATGCGTTGATTTTAAAAGCTATGCAAATAGCTGCAACAAAAATGCTAAACTGAGAAAACACAAAAATACTAAACATTTATACTTCCTTACTTTATGTCATTACCTCCATCATTTGTCCCAAGGTTTTGCACCTGTATTGTCCAAGAAGCATAAAGTTTGTCCTGAAAAACTTAAATAAAAAGTTGCAAAACTTCCTCCAATCTCCTAGCTTACATGGCCTAAGAATCAAATACACATAGTCTGAAGGAAATGTTAGAACACTGGGCCTGAACTCACAGATCTAAGGAAATACAAAAACTCAACAGGAAAACTTACATCAGGACAGAAAGTCTGGAGAAAACTGTCATCTTTCCACTATATAAACTCTAGAGAAAACTACCATCTTCCCACTCTCAACACTTCCTAAACTGTGGTCCAAAACCTCTGTATCAAGATTGTAGGTAAGCCTTAGGAAGAAAACAGAGAAACTTCAAAATAATTTTAGGGGGAAGAGGGTGGGGATGCAGGTGGAGAAAAGAACCTGAGCAAAACTACTGTGTCAGTAATAAGATTGATGTTTTTTCCATTCTTTCTCTGAAAATAATCAGTGATGACAGAGATTATGAAGACTTGCTTCAAAATTCAGATATACCCTCATCTTCCCTTTGACTTTCCCTATCATAGAACAAAGAGAACAACACTCTTGGTTTGCACTGACTATTTTTACAGAAGTCAACCTAGCTCAAGCCAGAACACAGACACCCAGCATGGAACGTCAGCACTGCAGGTAGAGGATTAGCCTATTATACCACCGTGCCAACCCTGTGATTCTACTTCTAATCCAGCTCCATGACAAAGCAGCTGGGAAAGCAGCAGCAGAGCTCTTAAGCCACTGCTACTCACTTCAAAGACTCACATGGAAATTCTTGCTGGCATTGGCCTATACCAGCCTGGTCATTGTGGCAATATGGGAAGTAAAGCAGCAGACAGAAGTTTTTCTTTGTCTTTCTTTCTCTGCTACTTTCCTTTTTCAATAAATAAACAAATAAGTCATTCAATAACTATATATATATATGCTTATTTTATATATAAATTTTGTAAATTTATTGTATGAAAATTTTATGTAAAATTATGTATAAACTAAAGCCACATGGAGAATGTTTAAAAGATAATTTGGCACAGAATAGTCTAGATCACAACTAGGTGGGTGCCAGGTCTATGAGCCCCAGGGACAGGGAGTCCAGTAGGATCTAGATCACCCGGCCCGGGTCCACCTGTGAAAACTGGTCCTCCTCAGTAGAAAAGATGTAGTGGATGGCTGGCTCAGATCCACATAGAATACATTGCAACCTATGGGGGACTACAGAAGACAGGTGTTACCATAGCAGCGGACGGAGAATTGAGAACAGAACAAATTGGATTGTACACCAAACCAACAATAACTGCAAATATCTGGGCAAGTGGAAACTCTAAGGTAAACTATGTCATACAATGCACATTGAAAGTGTTCTCTCATCCTTGGATTGACAAGATCGACAGCATTTCAGAACATTCAAAACTACCTGGACAGAACCCTCAGATCATATGCCACATTAGGATCCTGGGTCAATAGTGGGTGCCTGTTCCTCACCCACGGGTGCTGGAGCAGGTGGGAAGCTGGGTGTGGTTTCTCCCCTTGGCTACCCCTTCCCCCCAGATACAGGAAAAAGAAATAGAAAATCTGGAAACAATGATCACATCCACTTTTCCATAACCCTCAATCCCTTCCATACTGATCAACTATGTAAGCATCATTTAAATTTTTTTTTAATTTTAAAAAGAACTATTAACCATTTTACTGTTAAGCTTCTTGTTATTTTATTGAATATCTTATATTTAGAGAACATTTCTTCCCTCCCTCACATCCCCAGACCTCATTCCCTGAGCAATTCAGAGACCCCCCATGTCCACAAGTGCACAAATCCCCAAAGCCAGTCCTCTAATGGTGTCTCAACCAACCTGGGGCCCTGCTTGCCTGCCCAGGGCCCACGCACACTAGGATGCAGGTCCCAGACCCTGCCAGCATATGCTCCCCACATACCTCTAAAAAAACAAAGCAACTATACTAGCACACTGGGTTGCAGCATCCATTGTATGCCATAGTCCTAATTCCTGAAATAAATACTTTTGAAAAATGTTGGGAAGTCACAAAGTGTTTAATTCTTGCTAATTTTCCTTGTATGCAAACAGTCACCATAATAAAGACTTTGTCACTAGTTCACCTCCAAGATATTTTGCAACTGCAGTTTTTATATTTATTATAGTTATCATAATTTTGGGAGTAAGTGGTTTTACCTTTTCAATCTTTCCACCATTGATGTCACTGGGGAGGAATTTCTTGCCAATTGTTCTCAGATCTGTCTAAAATGAAAGTATTATTGTTAAAATATAATTACAGAAAAAAGTAAATCTAAACATTATCCATGAACAAAAAATGAAAATAATCTACAGTTAATAACAGATTCATATACTAGCTATTTAAAGTGTGCCAGTAAGCTATAAGTTAACAGTAATATGTGGCCTTAACCTGATCTGATCATATTTCTTTAGCTACCTTATTTTTAGCTAACTTATTAAATTGTCTCCAATTAAGATAAAACTTGAATTAATGTAAAAATGACAGTCTTTATTCAGAGAAGAACTGTCAGTATTCATACAAAGGTCTAATTATGTAATCCATAAAATTTTTTAAATTTTTTGACATAGTAAGATTAGAGTGATAGAAATTGTATCATCTTGTTATTCCTTAAACTATAGCAAAACAGTAGCTCTTTATCACCTTAAAAATAAAATAAATGAGTAGGCACAATTACATAAAGTATAAGAAACTTTTGTTTAACAAGAAACACCAAACGACTAAAGTTACTGTAATGTGAAACAAACACATACAGAGAGGTAGAATAGTATTCTCCAAACATCTATTATAGTAATAATTACAATGTGAGCAGCTTAAGAAATAACTATGTAAGTTACATAACCCCTACAGAGCCTGTCCAGTCATTGACCACTGTAGTGAGATGTGCCTGAATGGAACTGCCATGCAAACTAAGCCCCAAATCCAAGCACTTAATTTTAAGTTTTTGTATACTCAGTCCCTTAGCAGAGTGAAAAGAAAGGCATCCTATACCCCATGATTTATGTCTTTTCAATTTGAAAGCCACAGAATAATATGTAGGTAAAACATACTTTCTCACCTGGCTGTCTCAATCTTCAAAACAGCTGTTTTGAAATTTAATGTTAATAAACGAAAAGCACTTAGCAAACCGTCTTGCACAGAACAAGCATTCAGTGAACTTTAGCCATCCTGGTCACTTTAACGAATATAAAATGTGGACATTTTACCATATTTAGTAACCCTTAAATCAACAGCACAATAGTTCAATAAATATCCATTGTTTTGAAGGCACTCAAAAGTTGAAATATTTAAATCTTAATAAACAAAATATAAGTAAATGCCATGATATACTATGGTCCTTCATTTGTAGTTCTTATCAGTAACTTTGAAATTTAATTCAATTTAAGAGACAGTAATATAAAATAATGAGTTTTAGATTAAAAAAACCCTTCAAACTTCATTTCCTCTCAACTGTAATATTCAATCAAATGACCATGGACATGGCAACAAACTTACTAAATGCAATTATTTTATTCTTCCATAAAATAGAAAAATGACATGAATACTATCTTTCAAAGTTGTTGCTATGCTAAAGAAAAATATCAAAACTAACATAAATTTTTAAAGTGCTATACACACAAAGAATAGAGCAAGATGAAAATGACAACTAAATTTGTAAATATCCTAAATTCATTGTTGATTTATGAATGCTACAAGGTGAACTTTATTATTCAAATGCTATTATGCCCAAATTTCTAGAATAACACATAGGTAGAAGAATATATAAATAAGGATTTATTTCTCTTTATTGGAATGTCAAATGTACAGAGAGAAGAAGAGATAGAGAGGAAGATCCTCCACCCACTGATTCACTCCCCAAGTGGCTGCAACAGCTCAAGCTGAGCTGATCCAAAGCCAGCTTCTTCCAGGTGTTCCACGCGTGGGTGCGGGGTCCCAAAGCTTTCAGCCGTTCTCAACTGCATTCCCAAGCCACAAGTAGGGAACTAGACAGGAAGCAGGGCAACTGGGACATGAACTGATGTCCACACAGGATCCTGTTTCATGCAAGGTGAGGACTTCAACCACTAAACTACCACACCAGTCCCAATTGTTTTATATTAAACATAAAAAGTAATACAGGAAAAACACTCAACCTCTGAAAATATATTAATATTTTTCAAAACATCTGTCTATTCATATGATTCCTATTTATTCAATAAAGTTCAAAACAATATTTTCATACAAATCTCAATTTTCATTAACAGTGCTCAAAAACTTAAGACTATGACTTTTTCTGAATCACTCAAGTATTCAATTCAAAACTCTATCCTGGATTTCAATGTCATCTCTTTAATATGTATATTTCCCACTTTACAAAGAAAGATAAAGGACTCTCCTTTAAAACATAAAGATAAATAATCATAATGAAATACAAAGCAAGCCTGAGCAAGCTACTTTTAGAGACTTGTTGTTGAGGTTAGCCACCGACTGGCATCAATGTGCTGGGCTCTTTACTAACAATTTAAATACTCAGCTCAGAAACAAAGATCACAGAACAGACTTACTGAATAAAATTCAAGCAAACTGAAAGATAAAAGCTAACAACACAAATTTCATCTCTTAAAATCAAATTTAATTTGCTAAATATAAACTGATTTGTTTAAAAGAAAACCACATATTTATTTACATATTAAGTGTTCATGGCACCCACATTTTGGTTCTGTATCAGTTGTGCCATGATGGATTTTTCAGATAAAAGTTTTCCTAGGAATCTTACCAATCATTCATCATAATATATAAATTTCACTACTAAAAGATTGTTAGTATAAAAGAACATTTTAAAAAAACTACCAGAGGATTAACTTAAGGATTAGAAAAAACATAGGCTTGCCTAAAGTCCAGGTGCAATGGCTCAATTGGCTAATCTTCCACCTCCAAGTGCCAGGATCCAATACAGGCACTGGTTCATTTAACAGCTGCTCTACTTCTCATCCAGCTGTCTGCCAGTGGCCTGGGAAAGCCACAGAGGATGGCCTAAGGCCTTGAAACCCTGCACCCCTGTGATAGACACAGAAGAGGTTCCTGGCACCTGTCCAGATCAGCTCAACTCAGGCCATTGCAGCCATTTGGAGAGTGAACCGGTGAATGAATGATCTTTCTCTTTATCTCTCCTTCTTTCCATAGATCTGCCTTTCCAATAAAAAATCAATAATTCTTAAAAAAAAAAAAAAAGACTTGCCCACAAATTTAACTTCAGATAATTTTGGTAATTCTTGAAAAAAAAAAAGCCGAAAATGATAGACCTAATATGGTCAAGTGCAAGAAGAGGTAAAGAAATTACTTATCAAAACATTAAGTTATTATATATGTTTAATATGTACAGGTTTAGTGTTCTTATTTTGTTTTCCTGTATTCTCTGAAATGTTCTATAACAGCATTACTTTTATTTTCATGACAAACACAATAGTCAAAAAGCTAAAACCTAGGTAAACTAGCCTCAGTAAACTAAGCAGCCATTGTTTTTAAAGAAAAATCAACTTTCACTAGCATTTTATAGCTATCTTAAACGTTATGCAACTTTATAATTAAGATATGAATGAAAAGGATTGTCCTTCTTCTTCACTGATTTCTGTATAATACATGTTAATCAGTTGCCATGAGACTACAAAAGTCAACACTACTAAAGCATAAAATGTACCAAAAACATGTTTTCCATACTACTTTTCACAATTCATTTTGTTTAGAGACAATCTTCACGAAAACAGATTTAAAATGTTTATGAGTTAATAAATGTAACCTACATTGAGAGCAATCAGGATGATGTCATTTACATTCACTTTTTCAGGAGAACTTGTACAAGTTTCAATGCCTTCATCTGAAAGATACCTGTTAAAATAAATGACTTAACATTACCTAAAAGCAAAATTAACCAAAAGTCTTTCTTTAAACTTACATGTCCATTTTTTCTCTTTACTATAAAGTGCTTCTACTAAGTCTTCAAGAATTCATAAGAACGGTATATTATGAAAAAACTAGATTTTAAAATTTGCATTACCATAAGCTCATATTAATCTCTCATAACATGTCTGAACATAACGTAACTGATACCAGTTTAAAAAGAACTATCATGATTTTGCTAAAATTGAAGCAAGAACAAATATCCAAATTACAGCGAAGTTTTGGTGGGAAAATGGCAAAATCATCAATACTTAACACAAAGTTTATCAAGAAATACTACAAAGAACTAAGCAACTTAAATTCATTTTAAATATGAAGAGGATTTGGACTTTGTAATATAGCCTCACATGCCAGCATATCATATGAGTGCCAGCATGAGTCCCAGCTACCTGGTTTACGTAGTGCCCTGCTAATGCACCTGAGTAAAAAACAATGGAAAATGGCCCAAGTCCCTAAGCCCCTGCCACTATAATTACATCCAAGATGAAAGGTCAATTTCTCTCTTCTCTCCTTCCCATACTCCCCCTTATTCTACATTAATAAAACAAATCTAAAACAAACATAAACAATAAAACAATATGGGGACAACATTGTGGTGCAGTGGCTCAAGCTACAATTCTCCAGGCAGGCGAACATCAGTCTGGCTCTGATTTGGTTACATCAGCTATCTGGAAAATGAACCAATGAATGTAGGATCTTTCTGTATCTCCCTTCTCTTTCTCTATAACTCTACCTTTCAAATAAATAAATAATAAAAGAAATAAGTAAATAAGAAAAGAAAGAATGAGATGCTAAAGATGTTTCAGATAAATCCTACATAGTGCAGATCAATCTGCAAAGGAAAAACAATTTATCTCTTTTTTGGTCAACTGAAGAGGACAACTTATTAATAGAAGAAACAATAGCCAAAATCATTGACATGTTCATTGGTTCAGGTGACACAATTCAGTGTGATCAGTGTCAAAATTATGCCCAAATCAGCTGTAGGCAAGCGTAGAACTTTGATTGGAAATTATAAACAGTGAGATTTGCAATGGGAGATGACACATAGATTCCAGAAAACAAAGCTCAATCAAAGCAACAGCTAGCAAGAAGAAGACAAGCTGCTCCAAAGGAAAAGTAATCCAATCAGCAGGATTGGTAAGAAAAAAAAAGGCAAGGTAAAAGTTTTTGGGATGCTCAACACATTTTGCTTCTTGACTTTGTGGAGGTAAAATAACAATAACAACTGATGTTTGTGAGAGTGTTTAAACAAGGTTATAAACCAAAGCTGTAGCAGAAAAATGTCCAAAATATTCCAACAATGCTTCCAGTGGAAAGCTGTAAGGTCCTTCTGATCTGACTCCTTTTGACTTTTTGGTTTTCTAATCTTAATTTCAAAAAGACTAAAGTTTCTTTTGCAAATAATGCATAGAAAGACTGCACTGACAATTTGACATGGTTAAACTCTCAGGACTTAACTAACTGGCTGCTATGATTTCTTAAAAAGTGTCTTGAACCTGATGAATGTTGAAAAACAAAAGAATTTTCAATTGTACCTTGTAACACCATATTCTATTCACTTATTAAAGTCTCTCTGTCCTAAGGAAAGACTTCTGGATATATGGAATCCTTACTTATTTCCTATTTCTTGAAAAACAGAATAAATGATATCAAAACTTATCCTCTCGCATGCTTAAAAGGATATGAGTAAATAAAGTTATCTATGTGCTTTCTGAGAAAAGTGGCTTAAATGTCAATCTACTTCTATAAGAATGTTATGAGCTATGTTTTACTGTTATATATAACACTTTAAACACAGTGTTCTATAACACTGTAAACTCTTTGGGTTCATGATATGCTGGAAAAACAGAACCAGAACCAGAAATAATGAGTTTTTAAATTCAGTGGAAGTTCCTCTAAGTTAATTGCTTGGGCAGGTTCCAATTTTCAGGTTTTATAAGTTCTTTCTTGATTATTACTCATATTCTGAAAAAAATCACAGGATTTAAGCTTTATTGCTTTATTCTGTAATTACAAAGAAATAGAGGACTTACCCATATCTATCCCCAAGTAACATCTGTGACCCTTTGCTGTGATGTGTATTCTGCCACACTATGATTCTTATGAATCTAAATAAATTTACATTTCAATTATGATTACTAGGACCATGATTTGATAGCATTTTGACTTTTTCTTGTAACACAGTTGTAACTGAGCCAAGAGGTGAGCTGAGAGCAAGGAGACCCATTCCTTCGCTCTGGCTGATAGCCCCACTGACAACTGTGCACGGATATGCAAACAAGATAGTTTGGTACTGGGATGTTTTCCTCTAAAACTGATATCTAGAAGCTAACACAGCATACCTTATGGAGGAATAAATACTAACACTTTCATGCTGTCATTTGAAATATATCTTTCTGGGATGCCCCTCCCAGAAAGCAAAATATCATTCTAAAAAGGCATTGTCCATTGGAGGTCTTATTGGAGTGAAAAGATTGCTGCTTGTGTCAGTGCCGATGGCCTGCAAGCATCTGGAACTGTTGATCACCTCCAGGAAAGTGGAAGGTATTCCAGGACCATTTACAAAATTTTCTCCATCGAAGCATGGTGTGCGGTTCTTTATTAGCATTTGGTGCTTGAGTAATTTTCTTTTACCTATTTTTGTTCATTATATCACATGTTCTTTTTGGTTATGCTTTTGTGTGTGTTGCAGTATCTCATGCGACTTCTCATTTGATAAAAAAGACCCTGTGTGTCCTAGAAGGATTATAGTCACTGAGGTTGAAATCATCACCAAGTATTAGGGAAAACAGGCTGCTTACCAGGTTCAGTGTAACACTCTTTGGTACATACTGGACAGCTGTCAGAGACAAAAAACCTAGGCTAACCATAATTTGGGAGGTTAAAATTAATCTTAATTTTAATCTTAATTTCTGTAAACATTTAAAACTCCACAGGAATAAAGTAAGTGATAAAAATAAAATTTCAAATGCCAGAATCTACTTCAAGATTTAAAATATTAAAACAAAAAAATGGGGGAAGAAAAAAAACTAAGAACCAGCAGCCTAAACTGCAGTCATTGGGAAATAAAGGAACTCAAAATTGGAGCAAATACACTAGACTCACCTGTGTGCCTGAGGGCCCATCAAGGGAAGGGAAGAGAACTATAATCAGTTCCCACATGTCATCTCTAAGCAGGGCAAACCCAAGGGCAAAAACCCTGCAGAAGAAATGGACTCCAGGGAGTTACTGTTTACTGAAAGACTCAGCGGAAGCACACATTTATCCTCTCTAGTGGAGATTTTTGAACAAAATAATACAAAACCCCATTACAAAATACATGTAAAACTGCTTTATTGACAATAAGAGTACCAAAGGACTAAATTTCACATGATACAAACCAGACGGTTTCTCAGTAATTTTACTTTCAAATAATTACAATTTAATACAATTTTATAAAAGGTAATTTGGAAAAAATTTTTAGTAAATAGGAGTTGCTAAAATTCTGTCCTAGAGTCACTTAATTGGTAATCCTAACTTTTCTACTTCAGAAATAACAGTTTTAAAGTGAATCATCATCTATTAATTTGGGCATGGAGGGCCCTTTTTCTATAGCACTAATCAATTCAGTAAAGTCACACAACCTAAGTGCAGTCACCAGAACTGAATTCAGTTCATGTTTGGATGTCACTTGACAAATAAAACAGATATTTCCAAGTCACAGATCAAGAATCTTAATGTGCAGAAAACTGATAAAACATATACTATCATCTTGGTTCCAGACAGTGGCTCTCTATTGCCACCCTTTCTCATCAGTAAGGAAAAATGAGAATCATCTGGCCTTTGATCTGTCTCTCTACAAAAAGGAAAAAACTCCCACATCTAACTGCTTCATTGGACATGCTGTACACAAAACACACATCCCGTTTAAAAGGGTAGCCCTAACTCAAGTCCAATTCACAGATAATAAAGCAGTCATTGTCGAATCTTAGTATAAAGGCAAGCAAACGGGTTTCACTCACTTGTGCCACACACACATTGTCATTTACTATACCTACTAGTTGTTTAAGTTATTTGCTACTTGCTCCTATTCAACTCCAAGTGACACACAGTGTCATGCCAGAAAGATCTCTCAAATGATTTTAACATTCAAGCCCCAAAAGGAACAAACTTGCTTCTAGGCTACTGTGCTGACTACCTTGAGAGCAAAGAACACAATTATCCCTGTGAGAAATGTTCTTAGCAGAGTTGTCTGCGTCAGGCTAAAAAGCATTCAAAATCTGCACCTGTCTGACCTGGCTAAGACACTGGTAAGTATACTCGCATTTTATATTCAAGTGCCTGGGTTCCAATTCCAGCTCCACTCTGATTTCCACTTCCTACTAATGCATATGCTGGGAGGCAGCGGGTTATGACTCAAATGTTTAGGGTCCTGCCACCCCTACCAAGACCTGAACTGGGTTCCTGGCTCTCAGCTTCAGCCTAGCCCCGACAGGACCAGTGCAGGCATTTGGGGAGTGAACTAGATACCAGTGCAGACTCATGTTTACACTCTGCCCTTCTCTCACTCTGCCTCTCAAATAATTATTTTTTTAATGTATCACATCACTTAGTTTGGTCTCTGGCCTAAACATTTCATGAACTCAGTATGCACAGAATCAACCTTACTTCAGACTTGCAAGACAAATATTTGTGAGGGCGAGGACTATTTCAACTAACTAGAATTGTAGCCAATATGTAAAAGCTGAAGTTTTCTCCCTTCCACCCAAATACACCATTAAAATAATGAATGTCCATTCACATCTGAAGTCCCAAAGTAATACAGATTATTATGTATAGGTATAAACTGAGCTGATGAAACATGAAAAATCTTTTAAAATGCCAATGAAAAACTAAAGAGTGAACTATTAGTAAATACCCCAAATCACAGGGCCTCATGTGCTATT